CTCCATTGACTTCACTGAGTGTTGAAGGCACTCGGCATATCTCAGGAGTCACTCAGCACCTTTCAAAGTTGAGCCTTTTGTTGGTTTCTGTTTTGTTCATTTATGCAGTTGGATTCATTGAGCTGTGTGCAGAACTTGCATTGATACTCCTTGTGCAGAAACAGGACAGGCGATAGCCTTTATATTTTTAAAATACCAAAACCAAACAAATCAGATATTTATATTCAATTGACATGTCTTTACTTAACAGTATGCATCCTCCTGGAATTTATCATAGAAATTCACCCACTAGGCTTTTTAAAGTACGCTTACGTTTTGTGACACTCAGTTGTGCTCAATATTTAGTTCTGTTATGTGCATTATCCTGCTGAATGATCAAATTAAATTCAAACTAGAATTTGAATGTCTGCAAACATTGGCAAGAATCTGCAGCTAAATTTAGATGGAAGATTTTCAGTGTCTGTTGTTTTTCTTGTTCGTTTTAGATGGGTAAATTGTAAAAATGTTTAGGAACCTAACCTGATTTTTTTTTTACCCTCTTTGTCTAGGTTTGCAAGGCATGCCAGGGGACTGCGTCTCTCAGGGTGGTCCTATGGGTATGAGTATGGCACAGCCAAGTTACACTCCTCCCCAGATGACCCCACACCCTACTCAGTTAAGACATGGACCCCAAATCCATTCATATTTGTCAAGTCACCCCCATCACCCAGCCATGATGATGCACGGCGGACCCCCTACCCACCCTGGAATGACCATGTCAGCACAGAGCCCCACAATGTTAAATTCTGTAGACCCCAGTGTTGGTGGACAGGTTATGGACATTCATGCCCAATAGTATAAGGGAACTCAAGGGAAAAAAACAAAAACAAACAAAAAATTAAACCTATTTTAAGACTTTTGAACTTTGACCAGATATTGACACTTAAAACGAAATTCCAGACAGCTGTGATTATTTTTTACTTTTGTCATTTTTCATCAGCAACAGAGGACCAATGAGAAAAGAACAGAAATGTGAAATCATGGGCTCACTGAAACAATTATGTCCATGTAAAGATCCTCTGAGGGGAAAAAACAAAAAACAAACAAAAAAGACTCCAAGAGTTATAACTACTGTAGTATAAACATAGGAACTAAGTTAACTTGTACATTTCTGTTGATCACTCCGTTATGTTGCCTCAAATAGTTTTAGAAGAAAAAAAATTCCTTGTTTTCCACACTATGTGTGTTGTTCCCAAAAGAATGACTGTTTTGGTTCACCAGTGAAGTCACTATCCATGAAAGACTACAGTATATTTCAGACCAGTTTTGGCCAGTGAAAAAAGAATTACCCTGGAGATGAAGATGAAAAGTCTTGCTGGGTCTCTCATCACTCAGAAGACAGTTCCAAGAAGGCCTTGCCATCCCCTGGTTTTGTTCCTTCATAAATGTGTCCTTTAGTTTCAAACAGATCTTTATAGTTTGTGCTTCAAAAACCCATTTTTTGGACTCTTCTTCAAAGAGCTTGCAGGTGAAGATTTAAAAGACAGAGCAGGAGCTTCTTCCAGTAGTTCTGAGTCTTGGCTTTGGACAAAACAAAACTAAAAGTTGGGCAGCTTTCCTCAATGAAAGAAGTTACTAATGGTCTTTGCACCAAACCTAGAACTTTATCATGAACTCAAAGCTTGGGAAAAAAGCAAGAGAATACTGTAACAAACTTCGTACAGAGTTCGGTCTATTAATTGTTTCATGTTAGATATTCTATGTGTTTACCTCAATTGAAAAAGAAAAAAAAAAGAATGTTTTGCTAGTATCAGATCTGCTGTGGAATTGGTATTGTATGTCCATGAATTCTTCCTTTCTCAGCACGTGTTCCTCACTAGAAGAAAATGCTGTTACCTTTAAGCTTTGTCAAAATTTACATTAAAATACTTGTATGAGGACTGTGACGTTATGTTTAAAAAAAAGGTGTTAAGTCACAAAATGCGGTAATAAATATTTCATTTTTGATTTTTTGTTAGGCTTTTGAGTTTTTAATCATGATTGGGAAAGATGGCATTTGCTGGGCAAAAATGTCTAAGATGGATTTCTTACTAATGATTTTGAAGAACGGCTGGTAAAATCAGAGACCAGACACCACAGCACGCATAGCATAGTCTGATGAAACAACATCTGAATTTGTACATTTCTACTGAACAGACACATGCACAGACACCAGGTCAAAAAATTCAAATGTAGTCTCATCAGATTATACTTTATGTAGCTATATCTAATCTCTGTATTTAGCTCTATTGATATAGCTATAGATAATATATATATATAGTGAGAGAGATGGCTTTAGAATAGCTGTATGTACACACACACCCTGCATAACTACAGTGTGTTTAAAGTGGGAATAATTAAAGAATATTTGTAACACAGGGCTGGATTGAGAAGTTTTAAGCAACCATTGACTTTAATGGGAGCTTTGCTTCCATAAGGAGTGCAGAATAAGGCCCTGGAAACAGTTTTATTACTTTATGTCACAAAAGCAAAAACGATCAGGTGGATGAATTGGGAAAATGTAAATTTAACTTTTCAAATGTAATTAGATGTTCCAGGTCCATTGAGGGGAGGAGGATTTGTTTTAACTAAAATAATACAGACATCTTGTGCTCTGAAACTACTAAATGGAAGGAAAGCATGCTATGTTCTAACTCTAACTCTAAGCCATTACTGCCAGAAATTGAACCTTCCTCCTCTGCAGTGAGTGGGAATTTTCTCATTACTTCAGTGGTAACAGAATCGGGTTCCAAGAAGAGGGGAAAGATTTGGGTTTCTTATTGATTGCTATTTCGGAGAATAAAAATACCTTAATTATCTTTACTTTCTAGGAAACAACTGTCACTGGTTTAAATATTTGTAATTTTTAACCCTCTTTCCCTCCTCCCCCCGTGTATTATTAAAAACTGACTGACAACTTTTACCTTTGGAATGTTGAAAAAGTCTTAACTTCCTAGTTAATGTTTAATTTCTGAACTGAGTAAATGGACCCACGCTGCTGGCAAAGGAAGGAAGGATGCAAGTGGAATGGGCGGGAGGGTTAATTTAGCAATCGGTCCTGCTTTGTAGCAGGCATTCTCTGAAATTTAGAGGATGGGAGATTCCACATTTGGCTTTCATTCTTTCTGGTCTGATTAAAAACGCCCCGATCCTTAATTCCTGTATGAAACGCACATCCTGTCCTCCCGATTTCAAAGTCTTTGATTATTTTGATGAGAGAAATAACAAGAATAAGAATCAAAGAGGAGTTGTCTTTGCATCACAAAACGAAGCTACTTATTGTATCCGATTTGCTGTCATTTTCCCCTCCGATTTGAGGAGGAATTTTATATATATATATATAAAATCAACGAGCTGGTTCTTTTCCCTAGTAGACTGTTATTTTTGTAATGAGTTAAATATTTGTAATGCTGGTGTATTTTCTTGCTGGGCTGTAATTTGCGGGAGCTGTGTTGCTGGAATCCAATGTAAACAGATTGCTCCAATCTGAGGTTTGCTATTTAGTATGGAGGGTTCCGATTTGGGTGTATTTAAGAAATGCTCAGCTGTCAAACCTAAAAAAAAAAAAAAAACGGGAATAGTGTTTTGACAGCGATATAGTGTGAAAGGAAATACTGTAGTCTGAATAAAATTGCTTATGTTCTGAGAAACGAAGGGTAATAGAAAAACACCTCTTGTTTTGCTATATATGTGTGTGGAAACTTGGCATATAAATTTCCACTTCTCTAAGAGATTCTGGGGAGAGGGCTGCACCAAATTAGGGCTTTTCAGACTGTGCACTGCGAAAGGAGAAGTGGGAAATGATGTCCGTGTCTGTGCCTCCTTTCGGCAGAGTCCTGTCCTGACTACAAGAGGAAATGTTAGTGGAAATGCTTTATATATGTCTGGCCCAGAGCTGATTTGCAGGGGTGGCGGGAAATGTGGCAAATTTATCTAGCAGCTGTCACAAGATGGAACCTGTGTTTTTCAAAGGATCCAGTGAGTGGACTGTTCCTACACAAGTTACAGATCAGTCGTGCACTCCAAGCGTTTGACAGGGCGAATGAGGGCCCTCACTGCATTGCCTTTAGAACTGGGAGGATCCCGTAAACATTTGCTTAACTTCACCTTTCATTTTGAGAGGCAATCCAGTGGATCCAGGACAAATCCCCAAATCCCGTCATTTATAGGCGTGTCTCTGCAGGAAGCGTGTGTTGGCTTGGAAGGGAAGGATTTCACGCGACTTTGCGGTGATATCTCCGCCTCGCAACTCTTCACAATTACGATCCTGGTTGGAATCAATAGCAAATGTTGTTTTTAAACACTTTTTTTAAACATGCCTTCGGGGGTGGGGGGGAACCGCACAGCTCCAGCAATATCGCTGAGCAAGCTGCTGTGAAGGTGGGATTCTGATCGGGCTGGGGAAACCCGGCATCTTTGTCCTTGGGTGGGGGTGGGGAGGTGCTGTGCCGAGAATAGAGAGTGCTGGGCAACGTGTTTGAAGGCCGATTTTAATATTAATCGTTTTGGTGGAGAGAAAGAGACAGAAGGGAGGTTGCCCCTCTGCGACAGTGATGATGGATGACCCAGCACCGCCAAACAACTCCGCCCCTCCATCCTCACCCAGTGTCAAAGCTACTTTACTTGCAGCGTTAGGAGTAGAATAAACACCCTCGCCCCTTCTAACGCATCGATTTGTGGATCATTATGAATCAATTACTGCTCTCGATGGGTTGTTGGTGGCTGAAGTAAAACGGGCTGTGGATGGGGAAAGCTCTAGAAAGAAACACAGAACAGTCCTTATAGTAATACTGCTACTACTCATAATTAGTATTAATAATAATCATTCGGGTTTGGGCACTTTCCAAAGAGATTTCCCCCCCCCGCCCCCCCGTTCCGCAGCTGAATTGTTTGCTGCATGGGAGCCACTCTGTGTGGTAGCCGCTCAACTTAAAAGAAGGGCTCTCAAACGAATGGGTTTTGCATTACACGCAATTACTTCGAGAAACAGCGACATATTCGCACCGTACCGCCGCAAACCCCGCCGTATTTATTTTGTATTTAACTCCTCAAGAGAAACCCACTGGAATATAGAAAATGGGCTAGTCCCTGCGGCCGCACATAGGCCAAGTACGGGGAGTTAGCGAGGCAGAGTGACATTTTCAGAAGGAGGTTTTAGTGTGTGAAGTTGGGTTTCTCTCTCTGTTCCCATTTGTAGCAGTGTTTGAAGACCTCAAGGTGTTTCTATGGCTACCTTGTGTATGTGGGAGGGTCAGATGTGGGGGTACCCAAGAGAAAAGGCAGCTCTTGGGTGATCATTTATCAATGTCACCCACATAATGATTCTCTCTGCAGCCTTCTATTGATGAGGATAATTACATTAGCTCAGAGTGACTGATCAATGAAAAACCACCAAACAAAAACTTCTTTACTCTTCTATAATACCAAAAACAGATACAGAAATAAGATAGAGAGCCAGGGCGGGATTTCCCCCTTCCTTTCTCTTTACCAATAGATTTTTTTTAAACAAACAGCGGAAAGTAAGAAAATAATATTAGATCTATTACAATTAGAAGGAGACTACAATTTTGCCTGTGAAAATGTTCCCTTCAAATCTGTTGGCATCAGTCTTTCTCCGGTAAAGTATATCATTAGTTTGAATATGAACCGCTGCTTCTCTGCTGGGGTCCAAGTTCTTGCCCTGTACACTTGTGCTGAGCGTTCTGAAAATGGAGCGTGAGCGTTTGCAGCTACGGGGAGGGAAGAGGATGTAAATAATTTTCCTTTCAAAATTGCAGTTGTCTCCCTCGTTGTCAGGTTTTCTTTGTTTTTAATCACTTCTTAAAGCAGCTCTGCTAAAGACCGAATGTTGTCTCCGTAAGGCGCTGTTATATTGGAGAAAGTTTGCAGTTACATTGCGATTTCGCTCTTTCTAGAGTTAAATATCAATATTTTCTCAATTAAAGCGAATTGTAATGCTTTTACTTGTGAGTTGTTAAAGGCGCCATAAATTTTATTATAATGCAGCTAAGCTTCCGAGCACAGCCAGAAGACAGGTTGAGGGGTTGTTGTTGTTTTTTTCCCCTCTCTCTCGCCAAAGGGCCTGCATCACAAAGTCGATCATTTTAAATAACAACAAGGCAAACTGATGCGAAGAAAAAATGATTAGGGACAATACCACTTCATGACGCTCTCTCCTTTCCATCTTGTCCTGTGTCTCACATCGTCCCGCGAAAGTGAGAGCATCCTGTTTGCTTAAAATATTTCCAAAGGGCACCAAAAGGGTTACTTAGTTTATTTGGATGAAGACTAGAACATGGTTGCATTTAGCAGCACGTGTTTTGTGTCCCCAGTTCCTCTTTCCCATCCCCCGCACAACACTGATGGACTCGAGCTGAACACGCATTTGCTCTATATGTGTCTATACAGTGTCCTAGGTGGAGACTGCATTATTGTATGTGTTACATGTAATGTGCTTGTTAAATTAGTATACAGTGTTTACTGATATATCTTTAAGCGCACAGCCTGCTAATAAAGCAATTATGTACATAGTAATGAACTTACATTTCTAAACCAACTTGTAAACACGCCTCAAAGTTAACATTTGAAAGTAAATGTAAGTCTGGAAGATGCTATTTTGCATATCTTTGGCAGGCCTTTTAAAACAAATATTGCCAAATTTCTTGTTATAAAATCCAGTTTAGGCGCCGGATTCTGATCTCATTTACACAGGGTTAACTCCACCATTGATTTGAGAAGCCGGCTGGGGCCCTGAGCTCACAAATAGCCCTGTATTGTCTAGAATTGCCCCAAAGGTGTTTAACATTTCTTAAATTAGCTCCTAGAAGAAATAGTACAAACTTCTTTGCTGCGGTGCATGCCAGATCCAGATCAGAAAAGAGCTGAGTGATCTGCATTTCTTATTTCTAATATAGTCGAGCTAGCTACATAATTGCAAAGGGAACGGCTAGAGAGCAAATGGAAACAATTTCTA